GATTCATTCATTGATTCATTGATTGATTGATTGATTCATTCATTCATGCATGCATTCATTCTTTCATTCTTTCATTCATTCTTTCATTTTTTCGTTCGTTCGTTCGTTCGTTCGTTTGTTCGTTTGTTCGTTCGTTCGTTCGTTCGTTCGTTCATTCATTCATTCATTCATTCATTCATAGTTATAGGAAACGAAAATAATTAGTCTTCATAAATACTTGCAGATCGTTTTCTTTGTTCTAAATTTTCAAATGGATTCTTCTTCCTTATTGAGACACTTGACAGGTGATCGTTTACCAGTTTTAGTCCTTGCATTCAAATTGTCGTTTAAAGTTAACTTCATAACATTAAGATCAGTTTTGAATATCCCTTTTTCCTTTGACGGAAATAGTCCTTCCCTTTCTCGTTAATAATACATTTCTTAGTTTATTCGATTTTCTCGTGTTTTAGTGCTTGCAGTGACGTGTCAGCTTGTAAAGGAAGTTGTAGTTTGATTAATTAAAAACTATTAAAAAAAAACATGGATACAGATATACAAAACAATAAAATTGTATTCTTAATATAGAGTAAAATGGTCAAACTTTATGTTTTCACATGCTGAAATTTAGCACGAAAAGTGGTATTTTACTCTTATTTTTAATGGTAAAAGGATTGGTAAACAAGAGGCTCTCAAGAGCCTGAATCGCGCACCTTTAATTTTTTGCTTAAATCTTTCATCAATGATTATTTTTGCTTTTCAATATATATTAATGAGTGGCTTAAAATGCCATTTAAATGTTCTTTGTATCTGTCATATTTTCTCCAAAAGCAAAAAAAAATTCCTTTTATCTCTATGTTCCATTTTAGCCATAGTGGCTATGTTTCTTGACGTACAAGGAAATAAAATACAAAATTTATACTAGATACTCTGAAACTCATTCAGCCCAAGTTTCGTTGAAATTGATTCAGCAGTTTCAAAGGAGAAGTAAGCAAATTAGATGAACAAATTGTGAAAAATTGTCTTTAAAGGGCAATAACTCCTAAAGGGATCAATTGACAATTTTGGTCATATAAAACTTATTTGTAGATCTTACTTTGCTGAACATTTTTGCTGTTTACAATTTATCTTTATCTATAATAATATTCAAGATAATATTCGAAAACTGCAAAATTTCCTTAAAACCATCAATTCTGGGGCAATAACCTAACCACAGGCTCTTGAGAGCCTGTGTCGCTCACCTGATTCTACTTTAGTTTTGGAAATCATGTTAAAATATATTAAAATCATAACAGATACTCTAATAATGAGTGAGGCCAAATTTGGTTTAATATTGGCCCTGTAATTTAATAAAAAAATCCTGGTGGCCATCTTGAACAGTAAATCAGCAACAAAGTAGCAACACTTCATTAGCAGCTCATAAGAAACATTTATGCCATGTTTGGTTTCATTCCATTCAGTGCACTTCTAGAAGAAACATTTGTATGTATTTCCAATAGGGTCTTATGTTAAATGAAGTCCCCCCGCTGGCGGCCATCGTGGATGAAGGATCAGCTTCAAAGTAACAACACTTAGTCAGCACCTCATAAGGAACATTCATGCCATGTTTGGTTTCAATCCATTCAGTGGTTCTCTAAAAGAAGACATTTGTATGTATTTCCCATAGGGTCCTATGTTAAACTAAGTCCCCCGCTGGCGACCATCTTGCATGATGGATTGGCTTCAAAGTAACAACACTTGTTTAGCACCTCATAAGAAACATTCATGCCATGTTTGGTTTCATTCCATTCAGTGGTTCTCTAGTAGAAGTTCAAAATGTAAAAAGTTAACGACGACGACGACGGACGACGACGACGGACGACGACGGACGCCAAGTGATGAGAAAAGCTCACTTGGCCCTTCGGGCCAGGTGAGCTAAAAATCAGATACCGATTTGGCTGATCATTTCAGGGCAGGTAGACCTTGACCTAATGAATACTTTAACTTTAACTTATGATTTGCTCTAAATCCTTTAGTTTTTGAGATATAAGTCAGAAACTGCATTTTACATTATGTTCTATTTTAGCCATGGCCGCCATGTTTTCTAAGGAAACAGAAAATAAAACACAAACTTTATTTCAGATAACCCAAGAATCATTCAGATTAAGTTTGGCCCAATTTGGTTCAGACAAGCAGTAGTTTCAGGGGAGAAGATTTTTTAAAGTTAGAAAACATGATAAACAAATTGTTTAAAATTGACTTTAAAGGGCAATAACTCCTTAAGGGGTCAATTGACAATTTTGGTCATGTATACTTATTTGTAGATCTAACTTTGCTGAACACTTTTGCTGTTTACAGTTTATCTTTATCCATAATAATGTTCAAGATAATAACCAAAAACTGCAAAATTTCCTTAAAATTACCAATTTAGTGGCAGCAACCCAACAATGGGTAGTTAGATTATTCTGAAAATTTCAAGTTGATAGAACTTGACCTAATGAACATTTTTACCCTTTGTCAGATTTTCTCTAAATGCTTTGGTTTTTTGAGATATAAGCCAAAAACTGCATTTTACCCCTATGTTCTATTTTTAGCCATGGCGGCAATGTTTTTTGACGAAACAGAAAAAAAAACACAAACTTTATTCTAGATACCCGAAGGATCATTCAGCTGAAGTTTGGTTGGAATTGGTTCAGTAGTTTCAGAGGAGAAGATCTTTGAAATAGTTTACAACGGACGGACGACGGACGCCAAGTGATGGCAAAGGCTCAAATTTCCTTTTAGGAAAGGTGAGCTAAAAAGGGAAAGCATCCTAAAACGGCAATTAATACTATAAATCGAAGAAAAGCAGACAACATAATGGTCAATTAAAAAACAGCGACGGACAAGTATCATTCCATAAGCAATACACAGAAATCCAAAAATTTAGCAGCATGAACTTTATCGAAATCAGAGTGAACAGATAATGAATCGAGGACTTGAGGACAGGTCTGCGGTTACGACAGTTGAACATATACCTGGTCATCTGTGGCACCATTATGAATTACGACTTACTAAATCATAATGCTAACATGGCGTTCTTGAAAATGTTAAAGGGATTGCTTCAACTTTACCATTAAGGATCCGTGCTACAAAAGCTTCCTCTTTACAAGACACATTAAGGAATGGCCCGTAAAGCTGTCTTTTATGGCTTAATAAACATGTTCATGCTTGCTTTAACTATACTGTTGTTTGAATCATTGCTGCTGGTAATTTGGTCTCAATTAGCTTATTTACGGTTTAAACAAGAATCTTTAACTTTCTCGGTATTTAAATTGTACACGAATATTTGATTTGGTCATCACACAATAAACTACAGAAGTACAGCTATGAAAGCTGAGTGTAGGACTATGTGTTATTATTATCAACATGTTAAGTACTTTATGCTTGCTTTCAGGATATTCTTTAATAAGGTATAACGTAGTATTCATGTCTTGTATCTGTGCTTTGTTTGTGTAATGTTGTCCATTACACCTGTATTATAGAGTTAACTGCTATTTCTGTTCCTGTTTTTATTGAGTATTTTAGTCGGAGTTCCCCACCATAATTTCCTTTATTGAACCAAGTGTTTATAATGGTAAAATAGCTGTCATCCTTGGAGATGTTTTATGGACGCCGTCATGATTTTGTTGGTGACACAAATATATATGTCACAGAGGACCATGGGTATCATGTATGTTCTAGTTGTGGTACACAATCCTGTATTCTGTTCCACCAGTATAGATGTTTACATCATTCTTACTAGCATGACCACCACAACGGTGCTACTAGTTGAACATGGTCGACTTACCCTTTAGGAGCATATGAGTTCATTCCTATTTTGCCTTGTTCTTGGTCTTTTTTCTTCAGTGTAGTGTTTTATAGACTGTTTCTTTCTTTTCGGCCATGCCTTTTGGTTGCGTGTCCCCTTGATATCTGGTGTCTATTATTCAATATAACGCTTGTCTTCCCGTTGAGTAAAAGGAGGTGTGTGCGTAAATAACTAGTTTTATCACGGTATACGCCGATGTGTTTGTTTTAAGTCTGCAAGTGGATGTCTTTAATTAAATCCTTAAAGCAAACTTTTGGTGATTTGATTTATTCACAACTTGTATCAATTAAGGTCGATTTTAGAACTTGACATACCATATAGACAATGGTACAAACAGTTACTTTAGCCTATATGTGTCTTCTTCGTTTTGATTTGTCATGTCATTGGATTTCTGTGTAGTTATATTACTATCCATACCTCATAAAACAAGGGATATAAAATACAAAGTTTAAATCAAAACCATTAGTCGAAAATCAGACATCACTACCAAACAAAAAAAACTCACGGTCCGCCAAACATTACACTCTAAACTTAATAATGAGCTTCGAAACCCAACCAAAAAATTTGGATGATCACATGAATTCTTGCCGGTTAAGCAGCTCACGTTGCATCCGTCATGTTGTTCGTGGCAAAAAAGAAATAGATGATAATTTGCACTTAGTAATGTAAACCAAATCATCACTGTGTCCATATAAATATAGAAGGGATGACTTTAACCATTAGGAATCCTTTGTTCAAAAGCTACCATTTAAGCAGCAATCCTCAATATAGGGAAATTTGATAGGACATGCAAACTATTGTATGACTATTTATACCGTATCTCGTGGGGACTGCTTGAATGTTAGGTAAAAAAATGAAAAGTTTTCAATGAAAAAATTGAAAATTAATCACCTCTTTTGTCGTAAAATTTAGTACCTCAAAGTCAAATGTAGGTGTTAAACAATATATGAAGCAAACTTACTTTACTTTACGTTCAATGGATGGATACTTTTAATAAAGTCACTCAGCTTAAAAGTATTCCGTGAGAGAACGTCATGTATATACTACATTCTTGTTCTTCAGTACTTCTTAAGAAGTTGATATTAAAACTACTATTTACATTTTTTTTAATACAATATATGAAAATGAATTTTAAATTAGTATATATTGATTTCTTGTATGTTCTTAAAGGGCATATATAAAATTTGTTAGGCACTAGAATGTCTCAATTTGTAATGTCAAAATAAACAGTCATCCAGAATATTACATATTCCTTCAGTTCTTTTTTTTTATCTACACAAGCATATGTATGATGATTTCTTTTTTTTTTTTTTTAAATGATCATTAGGCTGATACATTTAGATTCGATAGTATCTGTACGATTATCGTTTTACTTTAATATTCCATATTCGTTTGATTGTAATGATATGTTGTTTGATCGAAATTAAATCAGATGCAAAAATTAACAAACAAAGAAGAATAAGAAATACAATTCCGAATGATCCAATATGTCTTGAAGATGGTCTTTTGTCATGTGCACTTGTTAATTTCCGTAACGTTGCTGACAAGTTATGCTTGTCAACGCGTAATTCCTTTTCTAGTTTGATTAATTCTGGTTTCAGAATTATTTTTAATTCTTCAAATGTATAGTTTGTTAAATTTTTTGTTGCCCAGTAGTCCAACTTTCCTCTGTATTCGCAATTGCATGGACACATCTCATCACCTGCAATTAGAATAGTTTTCATAGAAAAAAGTGATAAGAAGAAATAAAATCAATAGTAATTATATGAATTCAAAACCCTAGAAATAATAAAAAATTTCCTAACACTAAACTTTTAAATTCATTATGTCCACAAAAGGGGATAATCAATTTTGTTCTTAGAAGGAGTCTCTTTCTTAAAATTGAACTTCTTATATGACGCCTTATTTGTTTTGTGGTACACTGTAAGTGTAATGTTAACATACTCAGTTATCCATTGCCGACAGGACATGACAACGTCACTGTGCGCTTTGCGCGTAAAAAGTTCATAAATTTGTCACATATACTTACGTCGTCCTTTGCAACATGAATCCAGGTTTTTTTCTAGTACAGTTTTATTAAAATCAAAATGATGTACGCCACCCCGTGGTTTATCTTCGTTTAATAGTAGGTCCTACTCGGTATAAACTGTATACAGAGTTTTACTTACTCACGGTAAAATTTCCAATAAATTACAGGCTATAAAATTATTGCCTGATTAAAAATTGCGGGGCAAGACACTCTTCCAATTCATTTTTTTAATTGAAATGTATATGTACAACATTAATCTGCATTATTTGTAACCTAAATATTATAGTTTCGTGAAGTAACTGAAATATTGTTGGTAAATAAAATGAAATTAGGTCTGTTAAAACATTGAAGTGGACAATGATGCTGTTGATCTCTACGTGTATAAAAAAATTATTGTTATAATAACTGTAATATTGTACGATTGTGAATGATATATTGTACATTGTATATGAATCTGTATCTATGATTGAGATCATTGGGTCTGTAAGAGTTGACGTTGTACAATGTGTTATAGTAGTGTATGCTTGAACTTTACAATTAGCTTGTACAGCTTGGTCAGCTTCTGTCGTACCTTTGTCTGTCATTTTTGTAACTTTCTCTGTTACAGTAGACGTTGTACCATGAATACTCGTTGCTGTGCTGTATTCGTCTGTTGTTGATTCCGCCTGAGTTACAACACTAGCACCATGACCACCTTTAATTAAATAAGATGAGTTCCAATAAACAATAAAAATTTATTTTATATTTGAATTCGTTTTATAGAGTCGCGGCATAGCCATAATGAAAAAGTTAAGGCTTTAATAAAAGTTTAATCTACAAATTAATTAAATAAATAACAGAAATTTTCTGCATTATAACTCGTTATGAGAGTCTTGTTTCTCTTGAAAATAGAAAATATTTAGGAAAATATACATTTCACTACACCGACATGTGTTTCTGGAATAACCTAAATCAGATACTATCGACATCAAAAGTTTGGGAAGCCCAATACAGTAATTGTTTGTGAGAAGACAGAAGATGGTAAAACAAAATCAGCAAGAAACCTACAAGACCATCTTTGACTGAGAGAGACCTAGTTTAAGTACCATTAGTTCATACACATTAGTTATAAACTGAAAATTATTATAATCACAAAGTTTCATTGAATTCATACAAAGTGCTGAGCCACTGACCACAACAAGTAATCAACTTTCCCCTTATATACTCTCTAAATATGTAATAAATATAAGGAGATAATAAGAATAAAGGAAAAGATATACTTTCAAAGCGACTTTCATTCGTTCTCTGTTTATTTTCCTGCTTCCTATTTCTCTCGATATATATTATTATGAATAAGAGATTATGACAGATAATCTGAACAATCCACTCGTGTAATGTCAGATAAATACGGCGATTCTACTATCATGTATCTTTTTTAAAATACTATTAGTTAAAAATGTTAGTTTCTTTTGTTGTTTTAATTTTAAAATGTTCGTCTGTATATTTCTTCTACTTTTTGTTGTTCTATATAAGTGCCATGCACTTAGACAACAATAAATTTGCGTTAATAAATATTTGATGATTATACAAGTATTTTATGTTTTACCTTGCGATAACTCAAGGATTATATATGGACTTGTCCCGGTTCCGCCACCATTTTCTACTTGACACCAGTAACCACCCAAATCGTTGCTATCTATATTCATAATTGTTAAAGATGGATTTAAGGCATTACTTCCGCCATATTTAGATGTAAGTGACTCGTTAATGTAAGAAAGGTCACCGGAAGTGCTATTTTTAATCCACTTTACACTTAATATATTGGGTGGGTCATATTTCATGTAAGAACAATTCAGTGTTAGTGTTTGACCTAGGGCTACTTTTTCCGTTGACATCGATGTTGAAACCTTTGGTGGACCTAAAGACAAAAAATAAATAGTGTTATCGACTAAGGTGTTAAGAAATGTATGACATAAATTTAAAAGTATGTATTGTTATTGGAGGTTATTACAAACTTAATCATAGCTAATAACTTCGAATTCGTTTAATTTCGATTAAGCACACAGTGATGTCACATTCATATTCCATGCTTGTCTTAGTATGCTACGTCATCAATTCACACGATTTTTACAGCGGATAACCTTGAGGGCATTCCGGTGTTATGTTGCCGCAGACATTTCAAGGCTACCCACGTGACTTGCGTTTTTGACTGATAACCGAACGTATTTCGTATAAATACGCGGATATTATCGAGTGCAAAATAACATTCCTTATCGCTTGTTATAAATTCATTTCTTCAATGAATACTCATGAAAATATATTTTAAGAACATAAATAAATAATATGAAAATGTTTTGTCGTGAGAAATATACATATGTAAGTGAAAAAATCATTAATATCTATGCACACGTACCGAAAAATTGTGTATGCGGATGAATATCTCTTATCGTTTGTAATATATTAATTTCATCAATACATATTCATTAGCCGGAGAAATATGAATGCCTACTCAAATCAAACCTATTAGAAAAACGAATTATTACAGAAATGTTCAGTACTTCAATACTTTGATTACGTATGCCATGTATTTGCAAGTCTACTCATCAATTTCCATTGTTTTGGGCAGCTTTTTCCACTACGTTTACCTGCCAACCACACACCTTGCTGTCAGGACCAAAGGAACTATCATTGATGTCATAGTTTAGTCTAGAATTATTATTGTGACATACTTGGTCAGGAGCCTGTAATTCAGTGGTTGTCGTTTATTGCTGTATATCATATTTTTATTTCGTTCATTGTTTTTTACATAAATCTGGCCGTTAGTTTTCTCGTTTGAATTGTTTTACATTTGTCATTTCGGGGCCTTTTACAGCTGACTACGCGATATAGGTTTTGCTCATTGTTGAAGGCCGTACGGTGGCCTATAGTTGTTAACTTCTATGTCATTTGGTCTCTGGTGGAGAGTTGTCTCCTGGGCAATTATACCACATATTCTTATTTTTATATTTGCTGTTTAATTTGTTTACTTGTATTTTGTTTTAATTTTTATTGTTTGTCACTATTTATCTAACATTGGAAGGATAATTTTATTTCTTTTGTAACTGTAAATTTGTATAAATCCTAGTTGATGTCTGTAACATAAATTTGCATCTCTTTTTTCAAGCAATCTCTTTTTCGTAAATCCCTACTTACATTTTTTCATAAAATGTCCGTTTTGTTTAGTCTTACTTGCGTACGGCCTCAATCTTTGATTGACATTATAATGTTAAGGCCTCCAGCATCACCGAAGAGACATTTATTGTTGAATTGCGCATCTAGTGGGGTAAAATATTATTAATACTAACATAGAGATGATTTATTTCTTTTGAAACTAGACTGACGTTTGGCTTTTCATTTTCTTGAACAGTCGACATAATTCCACAATTTTGAAAATTCCTTTCCTTTCTTAATCTGCAGCTTAAGTAATTTTATTTATCATATTGACGCATGGACCAAGATTTTTCCATTTTGACGCTTTGTCGAACTCGGTATTTCTTAGTACCGATCTATTGAGTTAGGCCATTTGCAACTAATCTTACTTTGTGTTGTTACACGACTAATCCAGTTTAGAGGGAGTAAGCGCTCACAAACATGTTTAATTCAGTGGATGTCATTGTCTCATGTCTGTCATATTTGTTTTTCGTAAATTGAATTGTAATAATTTCTTGTTTGAATTGTTTCACCTTTTTCATGTCGGGGCCTTTTATAGCTTACTATACGGTATTGGTTTTTCTCATTGTTGAAGGCCGTACGGTGACATAATTATAATTGCTTACATCCAAGCCATTTGAACTCTGTTGAATATATTTTCCATTGTACATACACAAATACTATATAAAGTATAATATATTGTGCAACCTGATATCACATAATATTTCAACATATTCAAGTACAATATTTACATATCAACCAACCATCAAAGACTTATGATGAACTGCAATTTAACTCAATCACAATAATTACATGTGAAATAAAAAAAATAGAAAAAGATTTTTAAAGTAATTTTCAGGTCTAAAAATTCAAATAGAAATTAATTGCTCTCTTATTTTTGTTATATCAATTATATAATTCGAGACATATTCACTGTTAGTTTTAACAAGTGAAAGTCAGCAAAAAAAGTGTTCCGTTTTGATAAAACTGTTGACTTTACATCGAGGTACAGGTACTTAGGCTTCACGATATTGGGAACGATAGACTATGTAATGCGGACAGTGTGAATGACTTGATTACTACAGGAAGCAGAGCTCTTGGCGCCCTAACGTCAAACTTAAGGATTACCAGATTGATGGACTAGATTATAAAATGTTCACTAAACTTTTCGGGAGTATGGTGACCCCAGTCATGGACTTTTCATCAGGAGTTTGGGGCTACAAGGTATACGATAAACTAAAGTCTCCAGAACAGAGCCAATAGAACTTTTCTTGGTGTCGCAAAAAGTGACATGGGCAGGACACTTTCCTATATTTGTAGGCGGATTATATTTTTAGACTGTGGCATCGAATTATGAGTATGAACTACAATAAATTGCCTTACCGAATTTTTGTACGGAACTACGTTTTCTTAACGACACATAAAAACCCTTGGTATAATGATCTAAAACTGTTGATGGAAAATTGTGAACTAAATAACCTGTTTAATGGTAATACAATGGATCGACTAAGCGGAAAATTCGTAGTTAATCATGATGATGGATAATTTCAACGAAAATTAGAAACGAGATGACAATAATATGCCAAAGATATGGACATTGAAACTTTTACATTTAAATTTCGAAGCCCAATCGTATGTCAATTCAACATTGTCAAGACAACAACGTTCTGTAATCGCTAGAACGAGACGTGGAATCATTCCATTGGAGACTGAAAAAGGACGATTCTGTAAAGTATGCAAATCTTCCGCTACGGTTGAAAACGAAAAAGATTTTCTTGTACATTGTGCTAAGTACTTTTAAATATTTTGTTATATATATCATGATGGAGTGTATGGTTATGGTCATGCATTCTCTAATTTTCATGCTTTTTTCATATTTATCGATCAGTGCGAGAAAAACATTTCTCACTCTAGAGAAAACTTTGTTCTCGGCAAATGCTTGGCCGAAATTTAATTATGACGTCAAATTTTCTTTGTTTCTTCTGAATTTCCTATTGTGACGTCATGAAAAAAAAGGCGACCATGCCTGATGACGTCACATATAAAGAACACAACTTTCTGAAAATCTTTGAAAAGGAAGGATAAACGTTCTTTAGATATCGTATAAAAATCATAAGAGAAACATATTCCACCACTATAACACGTGTATAACGACATTTCTGCACTCTCAACAGTTAAATTTGAATTATTTAAAAAGCTCGGCAAGCCTCGCACTTTAAATATGAAAATTAAACTTTCTCGAGTGGAGAAATATCGTAGCACACTTGATGCAGTGGTGGAATCTATATGAAATAAATGGTACAAACCTATAACTATTAATGTAATAGGTTCATTCTCTGCAGTTTCTACACCATATGTTGCATGGTATACGTAAAATCCAATGTCCGAAGTGTCCGCTGGGTTGATATACAATTCTATCGAACTCGGTAATGGTATCTCCATATATTTGGAGCCGTCGATGACAATAATTCGAGAATTTCCAGACATATCAGCTATTGTCCAATTTCCTGTTACACCATCTGTAGGTGGAACAATATCGACCTTTAGTTGAGCAAAATTAGTTACTTCTTGTAAACTCTCGGTAGCTGTAACGGTTAAACCCATTGCTGCAGGTAAAAAAGGTAGAGTATTATTTTTGTATTAGTTTTAAATTCTTATACTAGTATCATAACTTGATTAAAAGAGTATATGGTTTTTAAATCTTATTAAAAAAACTCATCAAAGATATTAGGCATAAAATAGTGTATTCTAGACTAGTGTTTCGACTACATTCAGCCACATACAATGCAAATTACTAATAAAAAGAAGGATATGCTATCGTTTTCTGGTGTGCAAAATAATACTTGCCGAAACCTAATTTAACGGTCATACAAAAAGGCATTTTCTATAGAATAAAAGCATAATTTTACAACAGATTACATGAATGATCGACACAAATTTTAATTATCACAAATATTATTTATTATCTGTGGGTTTCGTGTGCACAGATGAATATAGAAACGCAGTTCCGTTGAAAATATGAAATTTGCCTGGTTTTGAAAATTTAAAATTATACAAGCGTGGTTCGGTTTTTAATTTGTATTACGATTCAATTTAAAAGTAAGAAGATATGGTATGATTGCCAATGAGACAACTATCCATTGAGACCAAATAACATAGAAGTTTACAACTATGGGTTACCGTACGGCCTTACAAGATTGTTTTTAGTAAAACCAGAATATATTGATAAAATTCATTTTACATCATACTGATGAAGGATATCTGTTATTCAAAATATGTGTTGATCATACCGATGAAGGATATCTGTTATTCAAAATATTTGTTGATACTAGTATTTACTGTTTCCTCATTTTAATATTGGTTATTGTTTTGTACACTTTTTGGGCGTATATATAATTTATTTATTGTGTACAGTATCGTTTTTCATAACGATCCAACGCCCTCGTAAGAATGTTGACTTATATCTAGACGTTTTATATAATATTTGTTCGGTAAAGAAAAATTGTGATCCTTGAAATGTATTCAGAGATAACACAATTTAGTATCCGTTAAATATAGTACATTGCATTCGTTGAATTGTCTAATAATGACAGTAGCACAGTTCATATGATATGAATAACTTACTTAGAACTCTTTAATTAAAATACTACATTTCTCACATGTGTCATATACCCTCTGTAGATTGCAAAAAATCAAATAATTTACCCATAGGCGACAATGGTAGCCTCTTTTGAGATACAGACTTGAGAAAGTTGTTTTTTTGAACGAAACCTTGCTAGAATTAAAAAATAAATTATAAGGACAGTATTTTTTTGTCAAAAAAATTTAGATTCCCGTTGCTTTTCTTAACTGAATTTGTAGTTGTCTCCATTGCCTATCCATTTAGCAATCAAAACACGTGTCTCGTCCTAGCATAGAACAGACTTCTCAGTTCCGTTAGGACTAAGGAAAATATATAGTGTTGCCTTTGGTATAATGCAGAATGCACGAAGTCTCTAGTAATAGAAAATACTGGGTGCACACAACGCAAAACTTTTATGAATTTTTGGTCCTCACTGGTCTTCAACTTCGCACTTGGTTTGGCCTTTTAAACGTTTTTTGATTCGAGCGTCACTGATGAGTCTTTTTAGACGAAATGCGCGTCTGGCGTACAAAATTTCAATCCTGGTATCTATGATGAGTTTATTATCGAACAATCAGGATTATCTATACCCTTATTCTGAACACCATGTTATCTTTATAAATGGCTGCGCCCATAATACTTAATGTTTGATTGTAACCTGTACCATCTTTCTGTGTTTAATTATATCAATTGATACGACACGCGTGTTTATGCTCAGTCTCATCATACGGAATGTATTAACGGGGGGAATACTTTTTACACAAAACATATATATCTTATTAATATCGTGATACTGTTAAACAAATCAGCTTAATTTATAATAATAAGAGAAAATTCACTTACTTTCTGGATAGCATGTAGTAATAATAACAATAGCAATGATACACTTCATTTTAACATTCGTCTACCGCGTCGTGTACCTGAAATATAAAGTTTGAAGCAAGATTGTTTAGGGATGCATTTGTTTCAAATGTATACACAAACATACTTTATATATTACATTATCACTTGTTGATTAAATGCTAATCATGTTTCTTTTGTGAGTACATTATATGTTATAAGAATTTTTGTAATTCTTTTTGGTCTATCAACAGAAAAATGTTCACCAATGGCACCCATTTTCATATAACACAGGAAGCCTTTTGCGACTTAAATTGATATTTGTGCTAGAAACAATTAAAGGAGTTGTGAAAATTAAATAAATTCATATGAAAAAGAATTATATGCGCCTCAACCTATTTGATAGTAAAAATACATTTCACCTGTTCTTAGGGTAATGTAAAACAACTAACTTAAAGGCAGATACAGTTGTCTGTTTATTCAATTTATATTTTATCTATTATAAACAATAACTATATGTTACAGAAAAACGATTTACAGAACATTATTCTAAAAGAAATAATGAAATCAAATGCATGCATGTATACTTATATCAGTTCTCTATGTAAGTATTTTGTTTACATTTATTACAAATCCATAACGTATACTCAACAAAATAGATTTCATTCGATGATTGTTGATTGAAAACTGATTGACTGATAATTAACTTTCAGGTTTTCTTGCCTAAGTTCACTGATTTTGATTTTGACATAGGTATTTTCCTTTACAGATCTGCTAGATTGTTTGGGTTTGTAAATATAAACACATATATTCAGCCGTTATTAAGTTTACATTGACAAGATGGACCATCATTAAAACCTAAAGAGAGTATTCTACAGACAACTAGAAAAAGTTGGACCGGCTCACCTAGAAACAAGAAAACCTCTAACACACACTAAAATTGTGCCCAGGTTTGTTTCTGATCCAGAACGAGAACTTTGAAATAGAATGTAAAGTCAAAAGTACATTTACCGCTTTAAACAGTCAATTGGGAATTATTTACGTTACTCGATTATCATGGTGATTTTTGTGTTGCCTTTTACAGTTTCTACTAGTCTAATATATTTTTCAGGGGGCAATGCAAAAAACTGCAAAACGTATCTCTAGTACTCTATTTTAATGGACTGTAAGTTCCTGAGTGTATCAATAGCAATGTAGTCAGTGTGTCGGTACTGAATATGATTTATAACAACCTTTATTTTGTAAACTTACCGTTTATAAATAAGAAATGAATCGGAAATTACGGTTCCATATCCCTCAAGCAAAGTTGACCGTAGATTAATTTGGCTGTTCTTTTAAGGTACCTTTTGGTAATGAAGCTCCTAAATGTTCTATGTTTTGACAAGTTCCTAGCTTTCAAATGTTAAGGTTTGATCTGTCCTAACGACGCTAAATGCAAAAATGGCTTCAGAAGTTCAGACGAACGAAATTTGCTATTTTCATTTAATAAAACGCGGCCGAGACGGCTGCTAATGGACTGTAAGTCCCCGACGGTAACATCGCATTAGTCAGAGTGTCGGTACTGGCATGATTTATAACACAGTTATATAAATTTTAACCTTTATGAATTTTAAACTAATTCAGAATCTTACGTTTCAACTTCCTCTGGAAAAGTTTACTTTAGATCAATTTTGCTATTCTTTTAAGATAACGTCACAGTACCCAAATTGCACAGAGTACCCAAATTGCTCCGAGTACCCAAATTGCACCCATTTTCCGAATAAAAGCAGTGAAAATCCTCTAAGAGACTAAATAATTTATACTTTTATAATTCGCCTTTATGCCCACCTTTGAGCTAAATATATATAAATATGCACAAAACGGTCATTTTATATATCAACAGATGGAGTATCCTGAGAAAAAAAGTAAAATTTACGGTAACGTCGCATGCAACATTCACAAAAAGTCAACTTTTGAAAATGAACATTTAAAAAAATGTTAAAAGCAACTATTTCATACAAAATGATTAGTAAACATGGACTAATGCCAAATTGTTCTTAAAATGTGGAGAAATAAAACTAAACATCAGTTATTCCATTTTTATGGATGTGAATTAAAGCATATATGCAATTTAGGTACAAATGTACTCCTCATTACCGAATCTTGGGTAGTTTGGAGGTTGGTTCAAATACACTTTTCTATGATTCAATATGGATTCAAAATTAAATTTGTGGAACAATATAGTCATTAGGGATACATCTACAAAATAAACACAGAATGGAAACTTTTGTCTAGACCTTAAGTATTTCATACAAAATGAATAGTAAACATGGACTAATGCCAAATTGTTCTTAAAATGTGGAGAAATAAAACTAAACATCAGTTATTCCATTTTTACGAATGTGAATTAAAGCATGTATGCAATTTAGGTATAATCCTCATTACATAATCTTAAGTCGTTTGGAGGTTGGTTCAAATATATTTTTCAATGATTCAATATGGACTCCAAATCAAATTTGTGGAACAATATAGTCATTAGGGATACATCTACAAAATAAACACAGAATGGAAACTTTTGTCTAGATATTAAGTAAACGAAGGTAAAACAAAACTGTCAATATAGGTGCAATTTGGGTACCCTCGCGTTACTTTTTGGTCATAATGCTTCTAGTGGTTCTACGTATTTACACATCCCTGGCTTTCAATGTTTACGTATTTGCATTCTAATGAAGGTCGATCCAGAAAAGCGATTCAGACGCACGGAATTTATAAAGTAATTTTTAATTTTCGGACACACATTACTATTTAAAAAAACCACACATAGTATAGGGTTGTGCGTTCGCTACAAGATCGCATTTGATATAACATATCTAAAATATCTACAAACAGACATACATAAATGCTTCAAAATTCAGATTACAAAAGTCAATACGAACTGGGAAAATAATATATCAGAAGGTTATCAGGGATGAGTGGTTTGAAAATTGTGTACAAAACTAACTTCTATGTCTTAACTTTTTTATAACGTACGTAGCATTGTGCAAGCGCGCCTTGAATTTTTTTTATTATGCTGACCGCCGAAATCCACAGTCCAAGTATTACCTTATCTAATTTAAATATTGAAAACGGTTATGTTAAACACAGAACTGTAAAGAAATAGAATGTAATCAGCTCACATGCTAATGTACTTGTCCATATAATTGAAATCGCCTGTTTATTTTGCTGTCTTCTTGTATTACTGTGTTTTGAATTTGATATTACATGTAAGATTTTAGGAAACTAATCGAAAATGGTTGAGTATATTTTAAAAATATACTGTATAAGCCATTTATTTAATTCAATGATTTGCTATGTCCCTGTTTGTTGAAGATCTTCCACCGCATTGAAGGTGATAATCATTGTTGGATCAGATGGCAAGAGTTTGATAACTTGGTTAATATGCGATAGTCCTTTGAAGTTTTATAAGCGTTATCCCAAATTTATATGTATTTACAAGAAGGTTTGTGAAGTGTGATTTTACAATAAATAATGACAGTTATTAACGAATCTACTTAAATTCATCCTCTTGAAATGAAATCCCATAATTAATAGATTATTTATGATTTTCAAAATTTTGTTAATTTATATAGAATAACAACTTACCTTAATTTGTAAAAGTGATAATCTCTAGAATGAAATACATTCCAACTAACATTGTATAGTAGATGTATACGCTGCTAATTTCAACATGTGTTTAACATCATAAACAATATTTTGTCATTCCCTCTACAACTGTTACAGGTATTGTTGCCTGTTAATATTTTATCACGATGTTTTGAGCCGTGTCATTACGTCGAATACAGACTGAGATATATCCCAATAGTCAATGTTTTGAGTTGTGTCATTACTTTGAATAAAAAATTAAGATATATCCCAATAGTGACAACAAATACGGTTGTATGTTGAATGGAACATAAATTATAGTATTTCTAATCGTTGCTATGGCAGTTTCTTTTAAGTAAGCACGGTATTCACATTAACCAATCAAACAATTAATGTAGATATATATTTTTGGATTTTTAATTTGACTGGAAATAACTTCCTCTTGGAAATATTTTTGATAAATAACAATGATGCATCTGTATGGCTTTAACGTAATAATTCATTTAAACAGATGTTCAATGTGGATTAAAAAAAACCAAGCTGAAGATCCAATTATTTTAGATTTTTGCGTAATTTGAGTTATTCAAAACTTTCCCTGTCCGAAATAAGCAAGAACTTTGATTTACTTGATGTAATATCGTTACAAAACCTTAATAGTTTCTACACACATAATACATGAAAAAAATATATTTGCGGTACGTACTTATGTAATACCCAAAATCATCCTAGCACATATAAAAAACAGACAAGACATAAAGAGAAATATATGTTGTCTTTATCCTCAGACCAGTGCTATGATAATTTTTGAAGCTCTTGTAGTCTCTTGTCGAGACAGATTGTGAATGAACTCAACAGATACATCAACAAAACCCAAAGAGAAAGAACGGCAACTGCTGACGACGTTCATCTGAATTGGGAACTGACATTTAAACATGTAGGTTATTGGACTTGATAATGATGATTCAACCATTACTTTTTATCACGATTAAAACAAAAGATTCAGTTTGAGCTTTCCAGAGGGCGAGGCGGTTAATTCTGGTATTTTCAAAGATCGATATTTAGGCGATGAAATTTCAGTTTCGTATCCCACGGTTGATGATTTTATTATGTTAATTAAGAGTAAAGGTCAAGGTTGTAAAATGTTTAAAAGGGACCTGAAACGGGCTTATAGACAATTAGTCGTTGACCCCGGTGACATCCATCTCTTAGGTTACAAATGGAGAGGACACTTGTATTACGATCGTGTATTAACAATGCGTTTGAGATCGGCTGCATATATATGTATGCGAATAACAAATGCTATTGCATTTATATGTCAAAACATGGGTGTAGATATTTTGAGCTATTTAGATGATTTGGCTGGATGTGATATTCCTTCCAGCAATGATGATGCTTATGCTAAATTGGGTCTTATTTTACAGAAGTGTGGCATTGAAGAATCAATTGAGAAAGCCTGTCCGCCTAGTACAAAAATGATATTTATTGGCATTTTATTTGATTCTGAGAATATGACAATTTCTATTGATACTCAAAGATTGTCAGAGATTCTGCAGTTAGTTTCGAATTGGCTCTGTAGCACAGATTGTACAAAGAGAGAATTACAATCATTGCTGGGAAAATTAAATTTTGTATCTCAATGTGTGCGTTCTGGCCGAATTTTTGTCTCAAGACTTTTGAATTGGTTAAGAGATTTTCCTGATAAAGGGAAATTAGTCATTCAAGCTGATTTTAAACTTGACTTATTGTGGTGGCAAGAATTTTTGCCTGGTTACAATGGGGTTTCTATGATTTTGTCTGATGAATTCTCAAATCCTGATCAATTGTTTTCTGTTGGTGCATGTTTGACAGGATGTGGCGGATGGATGGACGGAAGATACTTTCACTGTTCATTTCCGGAGTTCATTTTAGATCAAAATTTGCATATAAATTTATTCGAGATGTTGACGATTGTAGTAGCCTTAAAATTATGGGGTAAACATTTTACAAATTTAAAGGTGGTTATTTATTGCGATAATTTGGTATCAGTTCGTGTTTTGAATACAGGCGCTACCAGAAATGTGTTCCTGCAGTCGTGTTTGCGGGAAGTTTGTTGGATTGCAGCTTTAAATAATTTTGAGTTAAAAGCTATACATATTTCAGGTTGCGATAACCGTTTACCGGATCTTTTGTCTAGATGGGATTTAGGTTATAAATTTCAGTTAGAATTTTACGAGAGGACAAAAGGCATGTCTCTATCTAGAGATTTTATTCCTAAAGAATTGTTTCAGTTTGAACATATTTGGTAATTGCTTATTCATGTATTTGTAGATTTGCAAGTGCTAAGACGAGATATGTTTTTGACTAGGATTTCGGCTTTCGCGAAAGGTACTTTGGTTAATTTTAAAACGCAGTGGAGAGCCTATTTATTGTTTTGTAATTACTTTCATTTAGAACCGTTTGATATTAATGCTGAGTTATTATGTACTTATTCGGAGTTTCTCAGTAGAAGTTTCAAATCAGCTCAATCTATTCGCAATTATTTAAATAGAATTAAAGTTCTTTTCCTGTTGTTAGGATTACACGTGGATGTGTTTTCGTCTTACGAATTGAAATTGACGATGAAAGGGTTAGATAGGAAATTAAAACATTTACCTAAACAAGCATTTCCTATTACTTTAGAAATTCATTTGAATTTGAATACTCCTCTTGATGCGACATATTGGTGTTTATTTCTTTTTGCTTTATTACTTTTAAGCAGGAAGTCTAATTTAGTTCCAGTATCAACCAAGAAATTTGACAAAAACAAACAGCTATGCAGAGGTGATGTTAAAGTCTTTCCATCTCTAATAATAGTTGCATTCAAATGGACAAAAACAATTCAGTTGGGTAATCGTATTTTAAGGATACCTTTGCTTGCATATCCTTTATCTAAATTTTGCCCTGTAAATGCATATAAAAGGATGTGTTCTTCAAATCCTTGCACTTCGGATGGTGCCGCTTTTTCTTGTACAAAAAAGGGGAAATGCATGCCAATTACTTATAACCAGTTTCAGAATAAACTGAGAGAATTACTTTGTAAAATTGGGTTAAATCCAAAATTATTTTCTTCACATAGTTTCCGAAGAGGTGGAGCAACGTTGGCTTCGAAAGCAGGGGTTTCTACTAGTTCTATCCAATTGATGGGTGATTGGAAGAGCAATTGCTATACTAAATATATTGTTAGTTCTTTGTCTGATAAAATCAATGTAGCGGAACAAATTAAAAACGTTGTTTTAAAATAAATTTGCTCTTTATAGATTCTAGGTCTACTCTGGTGTGCGATTCCATAGCCAAGCATGTTAAAACTATTAGAAGGTGTCACTTGCAAGCCTTTCCTGGAGCAAATATTTGGGACATAATAAATTTGCTTAATTGTGGAACAATTCAGGTAAATTATGATATAATTCTGGTGCATGTAGGAACCAATAATGTTGGTACCTATGAGGTTGCTGATTTTGATATAGCCTATAACGTGCTTATCTCTACAATTGAGAAATTAGTTAAGCCACATACTGTAACAGTTATGTCAGCAATCATTCCACGTTTACTTGATTTTCAGAATACATGTTATTTTGTCACCACTATTAATTCTAGATTAAGAAGTTTATGCTTTAAACGTGGTGTTCAGTTTGTAGCTACTTATAAACCTTTTTTGAAGTTTGGGATGCCAGTTTGTGAACTTTATTCACCCATCTGTAGGTTACATTTGAATTATTTTGGTAATTTAAAGTTGACAAATTTTTTTGTTCAAGTATTGGCACATTGTTAAACAAGAGGATGTTTAGTCTCATCTTGTTACTTTTAAACAGAAGGAGCAATCTTATTCTGTACCAATTTTGTTTAATTGTGCTTACAGTAGTGGGTGATTTGTATATATCCTTTATGGGTTATTTTGTTTTCTGACCATTCTTGTCAGAAAGATCTGACCATTCATGTCAGTAGTATTTTTTTTGATATCTGACCATTCATGTCGGTATTATCATATTTTTGTTAGAAATATCTGACCATTCATGTCAGTGATATTTTCTGATTTCTGACCATTAATGTCAGTATTATTATTATTTTTGTTTTCATTCTGATCTTTGTATAAGGTGAAACATGGCTTTAAATAAGCCCTATAACTTAAATTGTTTTTAAATTTTGTTTATTATCAAATTAATGTGCTTTGTTTACTGTTTGGCAGTTGGTTTTTTGGTGCTGAACTTTGATTGAATTAACTTTAACGTCTATTATTGTTTTTTCATATGAAATTTTAATAATTTGCCAAAATTAAATGTTTTATTTTAATTCGCTTTAATCATTTCCTATCATTTAATTTGTATTGCTTTGCATCCAGTCGTCTCATGGTTTATATATCTGCGTCTATTTACTTCGTAAGAGCAAATTGTGCTATTTTTAATTAATTAAAAATATATAATTGGCGACTGAAGATTAAAGAAATAGACTTTATACTGTTCGAATTATTTCGGTTCTTTACATTTAGCTAATGATACAACTTGTTATGATTTTTATAACATAACAATGAATTTTGATTGGTTCCTTTATAGACTTGTGATTTAAAGGAATTAAAGTTTTTCATTCTGCCGTTGATAGCCGAAAACTAACCCTCCCATTATTTATCCCACCCAATATTTATGATCAGTAGTTTCATTCTCATTTTCTGTGGAAGTTTTATTTTTCAGCGTATGTTCCTTGCTGATTTGTTACTGTGGATAGACGAATTTACAATGTAATTGAGTGATTAAAGGACGATCGAGCAACTTAGTTTATACCTGATAATTTGGATTCAGACATTTCAGATTTATTGTTACCCGCTGGATATAGACGTGTGAGCAAAGTGTTGTTGATAAATAATGCTGAACATTGATTGAATTAACTTTAACGTCTATTATTGTTTTTTCATATGAAATTGTAATAATTTGCCAAAATTAAATGTTTTATTATAATTCGCTTTAATCATTTCCTATCATTTAATTAGTATTGCTTTGCATCCAGTCGTCTCATGGTTTATATATCTGCGTCTATTTACTTCGTAAGAGCAAATTTGTATACACAGAACAGTAACAGCTCAATTCAGAAGCCCCGGCATTATTGACTCGAGGACAGTAACAGCTCAATTCAGAAGCCCCGGCATTATTATTTCGTATAGTAGGAACATATATCAAAAGCAAATTCCAGGAATTTTCAATTTATACCATATGAAAACGTTATTAAAGGGGAGGTAATGTTTTAAGTACTGGCAAATAACTACACTAGTAACTACACATGCAAATAT